GGGCTTCCTTGGTGGCGCAGTGGTTGGGAGTCCGCCTGCCAATGCAGGGGACACGGGTTCGTGCCCCGGTCCGGGAGGATCCCACGTGCCGCGGAGCGGCTGGGCCCGTGAGCCACGGCCGCTGAGCCTGCGCGTCCGGAGCCTGTCTCCGCAACGGGAGAGGCCACAACAGTGAGAGGCCCGCATACCGCAAAAAAAAAGAAAAGAAAGAAGCAGCAGAGAACTTCAGGCTACCATGTTAGAAATGTTGGGATAATCAAGATGATGATGTCTTGACTGAAAAAGAGTCAGTAATAGTTGACCTAGGAAATGTTAAAGTTTGAAAATATGACTGGGATTTTTTTGATGTGCATATTAGAATTTATGCAAAAGAATGCTTTTCTCTTTGAAATTGAGGTATAATTGACATACAGTATTATATTAGTTTCAGGTGTACAACATTCAACATTTGTATACATTGCAAAATGGTTACCACAGTGGTTCCTTACCATCTGTCACCTTACCAAGCTAATACGGTATTATTGACTATATTCCCCCATGCTGTACATTACATCCCCATGACTTGTTTATTTTATAGCTGGAAGTTTGTACTTCATAATCCCATTCACCTGTTTCACACCGTGCCCACCCCTCTGGCAACCACCAATCTATTCTGTTTATGACTCTGGATTTTGTTTTGTTAGTTTTGTTTTTAGATTCCACATATGTGTATGTCTTTCTCCGCCTGATTTATTTCACTTAGCATCATACTCTCAACCCTCATGTTGCTGCAGATGGCAAGATTTCATTCCTTTTTATGGCTGAGTAGTATTCCATCGTGTGTGTGTGTGCGTGTGTGTGTGTGTGTACACATATACCACATCTTTATTCATTCATCCATCAATCAAATCGACACTTAGATTGCTTCCATATCTTGGCTATTATAAATAATGCTGCAGGGAGCATAAGGATGTATATATCTTTTCTTTTTAAAAAATATTTATTTATTATTTATTTTTGGCTGCACCAGGTCTTCCTTGTGGCATGTGGGAAATTTAGTTGCAGCATATGGCTTTCTTAGTTGTGTCATGCAGACTCTTAGTTGCATATGTGGGCTTCTTAGTTGCAGCACGCATGCGGGATCTAGTTCCCTGACCAGGGATCGAACCTGGGCCCCCTACATTGCATACACGGAGTCTTACCCCCTGGACCACCAGGGAAGTCCCGCATATATCTTTTCAAATTCGTATTTTCATTTTCTTCGGTTAGATACCCAGTAGTACAATTGCTAGATGATATGGTAGCTTTATTGACTGATTGATTGATTGATGGAGTCTTCATTGCTGCGCATGGGCTTTTGGGGGCTACTCTTCGTTGTGGCGCGTGGGCTTCTCATTGCACTGGCTTCTCTTATTGTGGAGCATGGGCTCTAGGCACGCAGGCTTCAGTAGTTGTGGTACGCGGGCTCAGTAGTTGTGGCGCACGGGCTTAGTTGCTCCGCGGCATGTGGGATCTTCCCGGACCAGGGCTCAAACCTGTGTCCCCTGCATTGGCAGGCAGATTCTTAACCGCTGCACCACCAGGGAAGTCCCTTTTTTTTTTTTTTTTGCCATTCTGTGTGGCATGAGGGATCTTAGTTCTGCAACCAGGGATCAAACCCACACCTCCTGCAGTGGAAGCATGGAGTCTTAACCACTGGACAGCCAGAGAAGTCCCTGTTATCTTTTTGATAATAGCCATTCTGACAGGTGTAAGATGATACCTTACTGTGGTTTTGGTTTGCATTTCCCTGATGATTAGTGTTATTGAGCATCTTTTCATGTGCCTCTTGCCACCTGTGTGTCTTTTTTGGAAAAATGTTTATTCACATCCTCTGCCCATTTTTTAATCAGTTTGTTTGTTTGTTTGCTTGTTATTGAGTTGTATGAGTTCTTTATATATGTTAGATGTTAACCCCTTATCAGATAAATTATTTACAAATGACTTCTCCCATTCAGTAGGTTTCCTTTTTATTTTGGTGTTAGTTTCCTTTGCTGTGCAGAAGCTTTTTAGTTTGATGTAGCCTCATTTGTTTATTTTTGTTTTTGTTTTCCCTTGCCTTTGGAGTCAGATCCAAAAAAAATTGCTAAGACCAATGTCAAGGAGCTTACTGTCTATGTTTTCTTCTAGGAGTTTTATGATTTCAGGTCTTACATTTAAGTCTTTAACCCATTTTGAGTTAATTTTTATATATGGTATAAGATAGTGCTCCAGTTTCATTCTTTTGCCTGTAGCTGTCCAGTTTTCCCAACACCATTTGTTGAAGAGACTATCCTTTCCCTGTTGTATATTCTTGCCTCCTTTGTCATAAATTAATTGACCATGTATGCGTGGGTTTATTTCTGGGCACAAATGAATGCTTTCTAAAAGTGATTATTGTGGGAAACTACATTTATTCCGATGGTATTGTTCCTGCTTTTTGACATACTTGGAACTCATCTTTTGGAGTTCTCTTCAAAGACACATATATGAAATAAGGTGAGGAAGAGAACGGAGTGGTGTCTTCTAAAAAACGAACCTATTTAAGAAATTGTCAGTGAAAATAACACCCCCCCTTTCAAATATAAAGGTAACTAAAAATATTTTGAGCAGTGATGGCATTTTTAGAGTGAGAGGTCTACTAAAATTAGGTCTTTTGGCCTTTGAGCTGTGATTTATGGCAACAAAGTGCTAGGTAAGAGTGTTATAAAGTTTTTTGTGTTTTTTTTAAATATTTATTTTATTTATTTATTCTTTTTGGCTGTGTTGTGTCTTCGTTGCTGCATGTGGGCTTTCTCTAGTTGCCCCGAGCGGGGGCTACTCTTCGTTGCAGTGCGTGGGCTTCTCATTGCAGTGGCTTCTCTTGTTGCGGAGCACGGGCTCTATGTGTGCAGGCTTCAGTAGTTGTGGCACGTGGGCTGTAAAGCGCAGGCTTGGTAGTTGTGGCACACGGGCTTAGTTACTCTGCGGCATGTGGGATCTTCCCGGACCAGGGCTTGAACCGTGTCCCCTGCATTGGCAGGTGGATTCTTAAGCACTGTGCCACCAAGGAAGCCCAAGAGCGTTATAAAGTTTTTTACCAAATATGGAAAAGATATCAGGTATCTATCAGTGTTTCTACCTAAAACTGCTAAATTGAATCTTGCTCTCCTCTGGTGTGCTCTCCTCTGTGTGTAGTTTTTATTTTTTATGACTTATTTCTGCCCTTTCCCTGATCCCATTCCCTAAGAGACCTTTCTACAGTGTCTCATTTTCTTAAGTGTTTGTATAAATTCAGGTGCCATGTAATCAATTCTAGATCATCAATATCTAACTTTAAATTCCAGGTTTGGTTGTTCTTAGCATATACTGGAGTAGGGCTACTTTACCATTCATTGCCTCCCACGTGAATTGTCCTATGTGTATGTATTCAAGAAACTTTGACAAATTTTAACACTGGCTAAAGTAAAATATACCAAAAGGTAAATTTGCAGCATAAGCAATGTGTTATCTTAAAAAAAAAAGAAAAAAAAGCTTACAAGATTATTCACATACCATAAAATTCACCCGTTTAAAGTGTACAACTCAGTGGGTTTTAGTATATTCACAGAGTTGTGCAAACATCACCACTATCTAATTCTAGAACATTTTTAATTTCTCCCAAAAGAAACCCATACTGTTAACAGTTACTTTCTATCTCTCCCTCTCCCCAGCCCATTGCAACCATTAATCTACTTTCTATCTCTGTGGATTTGCTTCTTCTGGACATTTCATGTAAATAAAATTATGACTTTTTGAGGGTGGTGACCGAGTCTGGAGCTGCCCCAGGAGCTGGATCTGTCATATCCTCTCTCTTCCACTTCCTGTTGCAAACAATAAAGGCCATTCGTACAGTAAAAAAATAAAAATGTGATTATGGTCTTTTGTGTTTGGCATCTTTCACTTAGCATGTTTTTAAGATTCTTCCATATTGCAGCACATATCTGTACTTCCTTCTTTTTTATGGCCAGATACTATTCCATTGTGTAAATATACCACATTTTGTTTATCCATTCATCAATTGATTGACATTTGGGTTGTTGCTGCCTTTTGGCTATTATAAATAATGTTCTGCTATGAACGTCTGTGTACAAGTTTTTGTATGGACGTGCGTTTTTAATTCTTTTGGATATATACCTACGATTAAAATTGCTGGGTCATAGGATAACTTACTCTGTGTTTTAACTGTTTGAGGAACTGCCAAACTGTTTTCCAGAATGGCTGCAACATTTTACATTCCCATCAGCACTGTATAAGGGTTCCAGTTTCTCCACATGCCCTCCAACACTTGTTATCATCTACCTTTTTGATAATAGCCATCCTATTGGGTGTGAAGTGGTGTATCATTGTGGTGTTAATTTGTATTTCCCCTAATGACAAATGATCCCAAGCATTTTTCATGTGCTTTTTGGCCATTTGATCCCGAGCGTTTTTCATGTGCTTTTTGGCCATTTGTATATCTTTTTTTGGCAAGACACTGTCCTTAATGCTAAGTATTGATGGTCTGCTGTTTGGAATACTGTTGTTTAGTTTAACTTTCTTTATCTGCTGTAAAAGAGTTTCTGTTTCATTAATTCAAATATTTTAGTCTATTCTTTTTTTTTTTTTTTTGTCTATTCTTGAAGGTTATTTTAGAAAGCTCATTTAGAAAGGGCCTTCCCCATGAAAAAATTATGTTTTGTATCCTGGCCTGTAATGTCTATGAAGACAGTTTAAGCAATGATAGACAAATAAAATGTTTAGTAGACTTGATTTGGTCATATTTTCGTTGTAAATTTATATCTCTAGGCTCAAAGAGTTAGCAGTGGTAAAATTTACAAAGTAGGAAACCTAGTGACTCATTTAAAATTTTGTACATTCTGAGAATATTAGCTGACCTTTAGTTGAGAAAAAGATCTATAAGGCAAGGAAAATTGATGCTTAACATAGCAACTGAAAGGCATGAAAAAGTACATGATTTCATCCTTATGTCCCTCTCTCCCCAGCGTGGTACCATGCGACGACGCTATGAAGATGATGGCATTTCAGATGATGAAATTGAAGGAAAAAGAACTTTTGACTTGGAAGAGAAACTCCACACCAACAAATATAATGCAAATTTTGTTACTTTTATGGAAGGAAGAGGTCAGTATCATTTGGGTTCAGACCTGAAGCCCCTTGATGTAGGAAGTTGTAGACTCTGGGAGCTGTGGGCTCAGCATCTCTGCAGCCAAAGTACTGCCTGTTGATGCTGTGATGCTATTTATCTGTATTTTCTCTTACTATTCAATGCCACTCATGCACACACCCCCGCCCCAGTCCTCCCACCCTGTGAGTCATTCTCTGCTATATTGGAAAAAGCAAGCGTTTATTAGGGCAAGAATGTTGGAATTTTTCCCTAAAGGCCTCCTCTTTCTTCTCCCATCCCTTGGTTTGGGTTTAATTAAGAATAGTATAATAAAAATGCTTTTATGCATGTACCTGCCCCACCAAAACTGAGCTCTGTGTGTATCATGCAGCTTTGTTCCTTGGCAAACTGACAAGGATGTCATGGTATGTATTGTAGTGGACAGAGTTACATATTTAGGCTATTAAGTGACAGGGTGATGATTTCTGCTTAGGATTTATGAGGTGACTCAATAGTACTATCCCCTGTTGGTTAAATTCTGAATTATTGTGGAAGTATAGATTTAGCAAACCCCTTGAGCCCTGCTTCTCAGTGTGCTCTCCCTATACCTTAAGAGATGCTTCTTAATAACAAGCATGTATTATCTAACAGCAAAACTGTATATACAGAAATAGCAAATACCATCTCTACCTTATTACTTAGGATCCTTTTCATGGTCCTTTTGTCTTTTTCCAGCTAAACCTTTGCCTTTCTAACAATTGTTTTCCTATGGTGACAGATTTTAATGTAGAGTATATCCAGCGGGGTGGCTTAAGAGACCCTCTGATTTTCAAGAACTCCGATGGACTTGGAATAAAGTAAGTGTTTGCTGTTTGATTGGATGTGGTTGCAAAATGGCCATGTTACACCCAGGGCTATAGACAATGCAGTATGGATAATCCAAAGCATAGATCATTGAAAATATCTAAAAGTGTTTTGTTATAGGTAAGTGAGAAAATATAGATGAGCTATAAAGAAAATAAATTTAAATCTCCTAAAATCTACCACCCTGAGATAATCCCTATTAACCTTTTCTCGTATATTCTTTTTTCCTATGTATATATGTACATATATATACATTTATATTTCAAATATATTTTAATCCTCAATATGAAGATTGATATGTCTTGACTGGGGAGTTCTTAGTTCTTTAAGAAAAAACTCACCTGACTAGAGTAGTTGTGCTTCCCATTATACTTACTAGTGTTTGTTTCATAGGATGCCAGATCCAGACTTCACTGTGAATGATGTCAAAATGTGTGTGGGTAAGTATTAAACTTGAGGCCTTTGAGTGTCTTTGAGGCAAAGATCTAAGATTTACAACTGAGTCTTAAATCCCTTACTGAGATTTAAGGCTTAGGAACATTGAACTATATATTTGATTGAAGTATATACTACTTGAAATAGTTTCTTGATTAGAAACTACTGTTTAGCAACTGAGGATTTTCTCAAAGGTAGTTATAGAAGTTGCTTCATTTATTACTACTACTTAGACATACAACATCTGAACATCTGCTTCTTTCCTACCTACTGTTTTTATCACTGTGCATCCTTCCTTCTCTCCATGAAGAGCCTACCTTCCAGGGCAAAATTTCAAAAGTGAAATTTTATATCTCTGAGCCAAGAATGAAACTTCATCTATGATTCTCTTCCTTTCCCTAAAAGCCATGGAGAAATTTCCAGGAAGTTTTCACCAATGCTACATTTGGTAACTTGGCTAAGGTTTGAAACTTTGTAAGCTAAGAAGTAGATTCATTAAAATTTCTCTTCATCAGTGATTGGTTAACTTGAGTCTTAATCAGAATTGTACTTCTTTTCTTTCTTCTTTTTTTTTTTTTGGCTGCACTGGGTCTTCGTTGCGGCATGCAGGCTTCTCTAGCTGTGGCACGTGGGCTCTGTAGTTGCAGTGCGCAGGCTTAGTTGCCCCATGGCATGTGGGATCCTAGTTCCCCGACCAGGGATCGAACCCTCATCCCCTGCGTTGGAAGGCAGATTCTTAACCACCGGACCACCAGGGAAGTGCCAGATTTGTATTTCATTATATTGAAAGTTTAGAGGGAAAAAGCAAATTAGAACAGTCTAATTAAAGAAGAAAACTTCCTAGAGTCAGTAAGGGTTTGGTCAATTTTCTGCAGATCACTGGTGTTCAGTGCGGCCCTGAGACGTGTCAGGATCCTTAGGAATTCAGAGATAGTTATTCTCCTATACATGATAGGGCAGTAAAGTGGATTAAAATATTTTAGAAATGTTTCTGACAGGACATGAAACAAAAGAAGTTTTCAGATGCTTTCCGCCTAACACTACAACTTGTATTATGTTTTGTCCTCTATGCTGAAGCTCCAGTTCAGTCTCTCCCTTTGAAATTAAGTATTGTAGTACTGTCTCTTGGCCACTTGAGGGCTCTTTTTAGACAGCTGGATAACTTCCGTTTATCCAAGAGATAAATGTCCTAGGTAGAGGAAGTTTCTCTAATTCCCTGTATTTTTCACTCCCCTACCTGTTTCTATGTTAGATTCCAGCTATCTGCCTGTCACTATGTATTTCCTATTACTTAGGACAGTCTCTGGGGTATAGTAGATACTCAGTAAATCTGTTTAGTAATTAAAATGCTTTCCTACTCTTCACAAGGCAGGGTTCTCAGGGGGCCTCAGAAAACATAGTACTTGAGTACTTACCGGTCCATCGCTTGACTTTTTTTTCCTAATGGACCTCCAGGAAGTAATTCCTTGGATCCACAAGTTAATGGACCACCAAAGCTTTTCTCTATTGGTCAGGCATTCTTAGGGGTTTGTGGTCCACAGATGACCTGCATCAGAATCATCTGTGATACTTGTTAAAAATATAGACTTCTAGATCCTGTCATAGACTTACAGTATCCAAATTTCTGAGCTATACAGATATAAGGACTGAGTCGCTCACTAGCCTTCTTTTGCATTCCTTCTCACTTACCACTTTATCATGTCCTCAATATGTTTTCTGCTAATAATGGTCTTTAGAGCCCTTCCTAACCTTATATTTTCCAAACAGACCTGTGGATGGTCACAGATATCTTTGTTGTGATTTAAAATAAAGCAGTGATTATATTTAAACTGACAGACTTATCAGAAATTTCAAATGATGATTGTTAAAATGCAGTGAACAACATATTGGTGATTACAATAACCCATTGTTACTAAATGTACTTTGGCTGATCCATTCTTCTTTTCTACCTAAAGTAGAATGTTACATCTCCAGTGTCAGTTCATGTCCCCAAAAGATAGTACACATGTTCTATTGTGTAAACTTTATATAATGGGATATATTGATTTTAAAGTGTGGACTCAAACAAAACTGGCTGGTTTCAAATCCCAGCTCCACTTATTAACTACCTGTGTAACCTTGGGCAAGATACTTAAATGTGAAGAACAGTGTCTGGCACGTAGTATGTGCTCAGTAAAAGTTAGCTATTTCTATGACTGCCATTATTTTATCTGAGTGCTCTGGTAGCATTGGCAGAGTGGAACTGTGTTTGCCTTATCTACATTCCTAAAGGAAAGCATTCACTTTTTAATTTTTTTAAAATTATGGTAAAATACAGATAACCTAAAATTTATCATTGTAATAAAGTATCCAGCTCAGTGGCATTAAGTATATTCACAGTGTGCAACCATCACTAATACCTACTTCCAGAACTTTTTCATCACCCCTAACAGAAACTCCATACCCATTAAGTAGTCATTCCCTCTTCTCTCCTTCCCTCAGGCCCGGGCAACCACTAAGCTACTTTCTGTCTCTGTAGATTTGCCTATTTTGGATATTTCATGTAAATGGAATGATAAAATATGCAGCCTTTTGTGTATGGCCTCTTTCACTCAGCGAAATGTTTTTCAGGTTTATCTATGTTGTAGCGTATAAGAGTACTTCACTCCTTTTATGGCTGAATAATCTATGCACTGCATGAGTATATACCACACTTTGTTTTTGGTTTTGTTTTTAATTCCTTAGTTTTTCATTTATTTATTTGGTTGCGCCAGGTCTTAGTTGCAGCATGCAGGCTCCTTAGTTGTGGCATGCATGTGGGATCTAGTTCCCTGACCAGGGATCAAACCTGGGCCCTCTGCATTGGGAGCACAGAGTCAACCACTGCGCCGCTGGGGCAGTCACACCACACTTTGTTAAACGGTTCATCTGTTGATGGGCATTTGGGTTATTTCCACCTTTTTGCTGTTGTGATTTAGAGCAGCTAAGAACATTCATGTGTAAGTTTTTGTTTGAACACTTGCATTTGTTTCTTTTGGATATGTACCTAGGAATAGAATTGCTGGATCATGTGGTCATTCTCTGCGTAATTTATGGAGGAGCTACCAAAGTGTTCCCATAGCACCTGCACCATTATACATTCCTGCCGGTACAGTCTGATTTCTCTGTACCCTTGCCAGCCCTTGTTATTTTCCCTATTTTTAAAAATTTAAATTGTGGCCATCCTAGTGGGTGTGAAGTGGTATTTCAAGGCAGTTTTGATTTAGTGTTTGCCTTTTCTTCCAAATAATGAAGAGTAGGTTCAGTCTGTTGTCTTACATTAGCAGTTATCTTTTTATGTGTATTCTGCCATATCTGCTTCGTTATGGACATATTCTTGTCCTCTTGCCTATTATGTCTTATCTCTAACTAGACTATGAACTCCTTGAGGCAGGGGACCAGGTCCTAACACTGCTTGGTATATCCACCAAGCCAGGTGGATATATAGGTGTTTGTTAGTTTCTTACAAATTGAACAATATTCTTAATATTTCAGTGGCAACTTTTTATTCTTTCTCTCCCCTCCTTGACCTCCATTTTCTTAACTTTTTAGGTGTACTGCCTCTCCATATCTTCTCTTATGCTGTTGCCTCTGCTTGGAATTCTCTCTGTTGAATCTTGTTGAAATTCTATTTATTCCTCCAGGCCCAACTCAAATGTTTCTTCTTCCCCTTCCTTTTTTAATTTATTTATTTGGCTGCATCAGGTCTTAGTTGCGGCACGCGGGATCTTCGTTGCAGCACGCAGGCTCTTCGTTGCGGAGCGCGGGCTTCTCTCTAGTTGTGGCACATGGGCTCTAGAGTGCGCAGGCTCAGTAGTTGCGGCGTGTGGGCTTAGTTGCCCTGCGGCATGTGGGACCTTACTTCTCCGACCAGGGATCGAACCTGTGGCCTCTGCATTGGAAGGTGGATTCTTAACCACTGGACCACCAGGGAAGCCCCCCTACCACGCGCGCCCCTTTTTCTAAAATCCTTCTCTGGTCAGTCTAGTTTAAAATTTTTTTTTTTAATTTTTCTTTTATTTTTACTGCTGTTTAACTGAGCACCTATTTTGTGTCAGACATTTTACCTCATTGACTAAATCCTCACAATGGCCCACAAGGTGATATTATTCCCAAGTTACAGAAGAAGATATTAAGGTTCAGAGAAGTTAAATAACTTGCCCAAGTAATATTAGAGCTGAGGTTTAAATTTGGGTCTCTGGCTCTGAGGCTTTTGTTTTCTCCCCTCTGCTATTTTATGCTGCCTCTGTGACATTCTGCTTTTTGTTGTGGTTGTTATAGTTGGTTGAGAATCTGATGTACATCTATGTATTCATTAAGATCATTAAGATGTCTTTGTCATTCAGTAAATATTTATGGAATGAATGAAATTTCTCATCTATGAATGGTACTTAGTATTTAAAATTGTTAGGATTGAGTGAGATGTTGAATATAAGATTCAATGCCTGACCATATAGTAAACATGCCATAGGGAGTGATTGTTGTTTTTAATATTAACCTTTGTCTTTGTCATTCTTTATGATTTGATTTTCTGTCGATTACCTTGAAAGTGACAGCTATAGCCTGTCTATTAGTGAATACTGTAAGAAGAAAGGATAGTTTGTTTACTTTCACTTGTGTCTTATATTCTTAATATATTTAAGGATATTAGTGGCTCAGTAGAGATGATCAATGCATCTTTCATGGCAGGGAGTCGTCGGATGGTGGATGTCATGGATGTGAACACACAGAAAGGCATTGAAATGACCATGGCTCAGTGGACACGCTACTATGAGACCCCAGAGGAGGAGCGAGAAAAACTCTATAATGTCATCAGCCTAGAGTTTAGCCACACCAGGCTGGAGAATATGGTGCAGCGGCCCTCCACGGTTAGTCTAATCATTTTCTCCACATTGTCTTTGTCACCAAGAGGGTTGATTATACACTGGGAGAATTTATAACTTCTTAAACATACCAGGATAAGGATAAACAAGACTATTTGATAAGAATAACTTGTGTTTTTAGAAGGGTCATCATTTTCCAACATCACTTAGTTTTTGATAGGGAGAGGCCATTCTGATAATTTAAGAACATTGGCCTTTGCATGTAATGGAGAAAAGTCTTAAATTCATTCTGATAAGAACTGTGAATAGGAAGTTTGCCTAATAAATTTCTATCCTATAGGTTTATACTTGCAGAGATGCTTGGGAGAAAACTGATTTAGAGCCAGGTGATTGTATGAGATGGTTTCTTGAGTAGATTCTGTTGGATGACTAGTAGCAATAAATTGACAACCCATCCCGAGGGGAAGTTAGTTTTTGATGTTTAACTTTACTAAGGTAGATACTGATTTAACCCATCTCTTATGAAAGTGGCTGTCTACAGGATGCTGAGAGCACTCATTTCCCTAAGTGGGATTGGTTTCACTTTTTAAATATACCTAGTCATTTTTCGACCACTTTTATTCCTGTCTCAGAACTCACTTGAGTCAAGTATGCCACCTGGAACGGTGGAATTTGGAATGTACTAATGGAAAAAATGTACATTTTTTCAGAGTCAAGTCCTCAGTGTTTTATCCTATCGCCATTTAAATTATCCTAATTGTACCCTTTGACTTTCAAAGTTGAAATGTGGTATTAATCGGTTATAATACTGTTTTATATATACATTTATATACATACATACCTTCAACTTACTAGTTAGTTGCATTGTTTTTATCACTAACACATTGGTATGTACAGACCAAAGGGAAAATGTTATCAGTGTTATGTGAAGAGACTATAATTTTTGTTATTGTTTCTTGTTATTGGAGATGCTACAACAAATACAGAATTGCTCAAGAAAACTTTTCCCCCCTAAAATGACAAAAATCCTTTTTATATTAATTGTCATTTGTTTGGTCATAAGGAAATACAGGAAGACAGGTGGTTAGAATTTAGCCTTGTTATTAACCTAACAAGGTGCACTTAATAAATAAAGCATTCAATAGGAGAGATAGTAAGAATCACAATAACATTGTTTATAAATGTGTTCCTCAGTATTTTTAGAATTTCAATTTAAGAGTAGTAAGATTGTAGCTGTAAAAGTAAAACTTGGCCTGTATCATACTTTTCCATTCTTAAAATTTAGAAATGTGTTATTCACACATGAAGCCTTCTTTGTAACATCCTTAATTTATTCATTTTGCCCCTAGTTTTAATGATAAAAATGCTACATCATTTTATAAAAATTAGAAAAGTACTCCACCATTAAATGGAGGAATAGAACCCATGGAAGAGCTCAGAAATAGAAAATTTTCTAGAGGGCAGAGAATACTGCACCAGTATCTTCTAGAGACCTAAAACAAGGCCAGAAAGATTGAGTGAGCTATTATTACCAAAGTCACCTCCTAAAAGGAAGCAAGCTTTTTATGACCTTGCTATATAAGCAGCAGCGTTCTTATTCTACTAGGGTGTTATTTATTTACTGGGGTATTTTCCCCCAAGGTATATCCCTCCATTTATCTAGGTCTTTTCTAATATATCTCAATAATGCTTAATAAAAAACCAACTTTATTGAGGTATAATTGATATACAATAAAGTGTACCCATTTTAAGGGTACATTTCAGTGAGTTTTGACGAATGTATTCATTCATGTAGTAATCTTTTACATAAGCTACATAATTTCTTGTTCACTATGATCTTCACACCTTCAGAGTGAGCTTATTGGTTTAAGTGCCTGCCACATGCTAAGTGCTGTGCTTAGGTGCTAGAGGTACAGTGGAAAACAAGATCATTCTTGTCCTCAAAATGCTTAGAGTCTCATGGGGAAGAAAGACCAGAGAATTGGCATTTATAGAAACTACAATGTGGTAAGTGCTTCAAAAGTGAATAAGTACCGAATGTTGTGGGAGCCAGTAGGAAGGACCCACCCTAACCTAAACTGGAGGAGAATTGGGCGAAGTATTTTGGAGGAAGCGGTACCTAGGCTTGACATGAAAGAAAAAATGAGGCAAAGAGAAGGAAGACCAGAATCCCAGGCAGGAAGAATAATATGTGCAAAAGTGGGTGCAGGGAAAGTAAGGTGGGCAACTTTTTTTTAAATAAATTTATTTATTTTATTTATTTATTTTTGGCTGTGTTGGGTCTTTGTTGCTGTGCACAGGCTTTCTCTAATTGCAGCGAGCAGGGGCTGCTCTTCCTTGTGGCGCGCGGGCTTCTCATTGTGGTGGCTTCTCTTGTTGTGGAGCATGGGCTCTAGGCACACGGGCTTCAGTAGTTGCAGCATGCAGTCTCAGTAGTTGTGGCTCGCGGGCTCTAGAGCACAGGATCAGTAGTGTGGCACATGGGCTTAGTTGCTCCGCGGCATGTGGGATCTTCCCGGACCAGGGCTCGAACTCATGTCCCCTGCATTGGCAGGCAGATTCTCAACCACTGTGCCACCAGGGGAGCCCAAGGTGGGCAACTTTTAAGTGCCCATTGTAGGTGGTAGCATAAAGTGGGACTCTCTAGTGAAGAGAGAGAGGTGATTTCTGCTGTCATCCCAGCAGTAACTGAGAAGTAGATGAAAAATAGCAGCAGATGTAATGTGCAGATTTGTTTGGTGATGGGGAAATTAGTTCGTGGAAGGCCATGAGCTGTTTTTGCACAGTGTATGAATAGATTATGTCTTAGTTATTGCACTTCTTGCCAGTTTGGCCCTGTATTGGTACGGGGCAGGTAGAAACTGATTATCTCCACTGGAGACTTGCTGTCATATGGATGAGGCCATTTAGCAAAAGGCCTATCCAGAGCCTAAAGATTAACCTAAGAAAAATGTATGAACACCTTACCATAATATTCTCCTGATAGTCAGATAATACCCAATAATATCAAATAAAGGGAAGCCAGAGAGTGACTTATTGCTGCAGGTGAGAAATTCTAGCCAGAGAAGTTCATCTATCTCTGAGTGAACCCTTGACAAAAAAATACTCATGTGTTCCTAACTTTTCCTCTCCCTATCCAGATATAAGAACTTATAGTGAGTATACTGAGCAACTCACAGTTTTTCTGTATTCTGTTAAAGGCTTTCCAAAGGACAATACCAGGAGGTGGGAGAAAACTGGCCACTACATCAAGAGAGCAGAACGTAGATTTTGTATGATAGAAAGAAGAATCTGGGGCTCATTCAGTGTTCTTAGGCCCAGTGGATGCTTAGTTAAAACTGTTGGTTCCCTGAGTGGAAATTCTTTGAAATGGGGCAGCAAGTTAACCTTCATAGTTGTTCCTCATCTTGCTTATTTAAACTTGCATATTGGGACTTCCCTGGTGGTCCAGCGGTCAAGACACCGTGCTCCCTATCCAGGGGGCCTGGGTTTGATCCCTGGTCAGGAAACTAGATCCCACATGCTGCAACTAAAGATCCTGTATGCCGCGACTAAGACCCAGCTCAGCCAAATAAATAAATAAATTTAAAAAAAAAACAAAAAAAAAACCTTGTATATCATCGGTGACCCATTCCAAACACTCTCCCACAGTTTACATCTGAGTGTCCACTGGACATTTGCCTCATATCATTACACACAGATTGTATGCATTTATCTAGATCTATGTTGTAAGGAAATAAATGATCAAATATATACATACATAAGTTATAAAGCTTACCAGGTACATGTTTTTTATAGCCATGAGTTAGATACTTGGAACACCAGTGCTGTGCTGAATCCATGGTTATTTGGTTATCACATGGTTATCACACTTTATCTACCTAAGACTGTTTCTTGGAGTTCAGTGGTTGGGTGCAGTCATTTGAAGGTACAGGGCACGTTACAATTCAGTGTGAAGTATTTAAATAAGTTCGTACTGTTTTCATTTCTCATTTCTTTTAGCACATATTGGGTTGGCCAAAAAGTTCGTTCGGGTTTTTCTGTACGATGTTACGGAAAACCTAAACGGACTTTTTGGCCAACCCAATATTTAAAACAGATTCCTGGACTTCCCTTGGTGGTCCAGTGGTTAACACTCCGTGCTTCTACTGCAGAGGGCACGGGTTCGATCCCTGGTCAGGGAAGTTCCCCGTGCCACATGGTGTGGCCAAACAAACGTATTCCTAAACTCTGATGACATTATTTCAAAAAATTTTTAACATGTATTTACATGTAATCCTCACAATATTCCTTTGTGGTAATTATCCTTATTTTACAGATAAGTTCCAGAGGCTCACATATGATCTTCAGAAAACTAGACCTGGAACTTCTGATTCCTAACCCAGTAGATTCTATAGCACATTGCTCATGCAAGCTACAAACCCCTACTGGAATTCTTTTCCCTTCCCCTCCACCTCTCCCCTCCCCTCCCCTGCCCTCCCCTCCACCTCCCCTCCCTTTTTCTTTTAAATTTATTATCTTAACCTTTTTTAAAATGATTTTATTTTTTTAAGATTTATTTATTATTTATTTATTTTTGGCTGCATCAGGTCTTCGTTGGGGAACACGGGATCATTCGTTGCAGCATGTGGGCTCTTCGTTGTGGTGCACGGGCTTCTCTCTAATTGTGGTGTGCGGGTTTTCTCTTTCTAGTTGTGGCACGTGGCCTCCAGAGCACGTGGGCTCTGTTGTTTGCGGCACACGGGCCCTCTAGTTGAGGCGCAGGAGCTCAGTAGTTGTGGCACACGGGCTTAGTTGCCCCACGGCATGTGGGATCTTAGTTCCCTGACCAGAGATCAAACCCGCGTCCCCTGCGTTGTAAGGTGGATTCAAAAAGTACAGCTGATTATACTTCTCTCCTCTTCTTTTTTCTTTTCTCTTCTCTTCTCTTTCTTTCTTAAATGGTATCTTAGCTGCTCTAACAGTATTTATATCTTTTGGTAAGTTTATTATAGGTACCTTCCAGACAGTGCCTTTTATTGGACCAAAAAAAATAAATTACAGCTGATTATACCAGTACTGACACAGAAGAGAGGGCTTGGTTGGATACTACGGCATCATTTAATGACTTCGTTTTGATTAGGGCTACTTTTATGATCATGCTGATGGAACCATTAGTCTTTATTTTCACTTAATAATTATTTCTAGAATGTTTGCCTATTGATCCTAAGATTCACCAACATATTATTTGTTTGCTTAAAATTAAATTGTAGTCTTTCAGTGTGTGTTTTGAGAATTTCTATTTTTCTTGACTTTAGAATTCTCTTTAATCCCAACCCTTCCTTTGAAGCCTAAATGTTCCTTCTCCTTTTTAAAGGTGGATTTCATTGACTGGGTAGACAATATGTGGCCAAGGCATTTGAAAGAAAGTCAGACTGAGTCAACAAATGCCATCTTGGAGATGCAGTACCCTAAAGTGCAGAAGTAAGTGGCTTACCCTGCATTTTCCTCAGTGTGCTGTGGAACACCAAAGTGATAGCAAGAAATGGTTCCTCCCTTCGGAACCTTGCTCTGGGTCCCAAGTGATCAAAAAGGTGAATTATTTAAAGAGTAGACTTTAGTTCCAAAGGGAAGAGTGTATGTAAGAGTACCGTAGCCCTTGATGACATAAAAACAAAAGTATCTTCTGATAATATGATGGCTTGAGATTGCATTCCTCTCACCGACTGGGAGTTTATTAGGTGGAAAATAGAGGGAGTGGAGTACACAAGGGGAGAGTGTGGCATTGTGGTGGGAAAAGTCCTCTTTTTCTCGTCAGTGCACTAATGCTACTGCTTTTTTTGGGTCAGGTACTGTCTGATGAGTGTTCGAGGCTGCTATACTGACTTCCATGTGGACTTTGGTGGTACCTCTGTTTGGTATCACATCCATCAAGGGGGAAAGGTACGGTCATAGTTGTGATGGGGGTTGGAATCTGAAGCTGGTTATATGAGTTTCCTTCAGTCCATGCATGCTTCATATACCCTGGAAACGAGTCTATTAGGGGATTGTCCCCACTCATATCTGGAGAGAATTGTAGATTAAGTTGACCTTCTTGGCTAGAGTCCAGTAGGGATTACTATTCATCTAGTTCATTCTCATTTTACCAGTATTGGCATCACAACTTAGTAAACCTCAATGGTCCTGTTTCTAGATTCCCAAAACAGAATTCTCCAAATGAAGGCAAGGAACTGGTTTTAGGAGGACAAGATAATTTCTCTACATGAAAGTATAATAAAGTAGTAGAAGGAAACACAAAATGTGGATAGATTCACAATGAAATCAGCAAATTGGGATCCAAACCACTTTTCCCTATATAGAGGCATTGGTCTGAAATGTAGCCATAGGAAGCCTTTAAGTCCTGTCAGAGGATATAAATAGATTTTGAAAGATTATCCTCATTCATAAAGACCTTTGTTCCAGCTTCTCAGATTGCTTCTGAATGCTGTGTAAGAATGGAAATGTAGAATTAATATCAGAGGTTTATAGTATTACACTCTTACCGTTACCCTTTTTTCTTGTAAGAAGTGAAAGCATTTGTGAGAGAAAAGTACAACTGGAATGAAAACAGATAATGCTTTTAAAATGTGAGGGCCGAATCTAGAACAGCTGTACCTCCAAATCCAGTCATTTTGTTTATTTTGGATCCATTTAAATGGTATCTTAAGTTCTGTCCTTTCAGTCTTGGTTACTACCTTGGAATAAAGCAACTCAGGCCTGTGTTTTGAAGGTACTGTACCTAACTGTGCTTCTTAGGACCATTTAGGCCAGCCAGCCAGGGGCAAATAAGGGACTGCCTAGGTGACAAGCTAAATGCCCTCCTTCTCTCTGAGTCCTGTATAGGTTCCCGGTTCTACAATCAAACCCCAGGGAAGCCCTAATGCTGTTTGATCAAGTGGAGGACAAAAAAGGTTCACTTCCTTGAGGCCTCTAGAATTTCCCAAATGGTCAAGTTCTGTAGGCTGGGAGGATTGCTTGTTTCTCTTCTACCTGTTGGTCTTAAGTTTGTACCTGTTTATCAGTTGAGGGAGACGACTGGGTCATGTCAATGGCTGTTAACAGACTGAAGTTTTTTAACTCACAGGTCTTCTGGCTCATCCCCCCTACAGCCCACAACCTGGAGCTGTACGAGAATTGGCTGCTGTCAGGGAAACAGGGAGACATCTTTCTGGGTGACCGGGTGTCAGATTGCCAGCGCATTGAGCTCAAGCAGGGCTATACCTTCGTCATTCCCTCAGGTAAGCAAGATACAAAAAAGTGGGTTGTCTACTCTAGCCACTTTCTTTTCTTAAAGAAAAATAAATTGATAAATTACCACCAACACCAAGAATGGTTATGATGCTGGAGTGGGCAGAAAACAATGGCATGTTCTTTCTTGTCATTACTGAGTAGATGCCAAGAATTTATCTTCTTTTTTAAAGTCTATGATTTTCCACTAAGAGTATGTATCAGAATTGCCAGTGGCGGCTTTTCAGATCTACATGTTTGAGCCCCACATTAGCCCTAGCTCTTCAGAATCCTAGGGATAAGACCTGTTTTGCAGGTGATAAACAGCCCCCTATTAAGAGCTACCTCCTCTGCTAAGGGATAGCTGTGAAGGCTAGAGTGCTAAATCAGTAATAGTTTTTATCAGGTAACTAAGTTCCAAAATAAGTACTTAGAGGGAGCATAGATTTTGGAGTCACAGACCTGTATTAGAATTCTGACTATGCATTTACCTGCTAATACTACTTTGGTCAAATATTTAAATCCCTATCTCATTTTGTTGTGAGGAGTAAATGACAATACATGTAAATTCTCTTGTACTAAGCCTGGTTCATATTAGGTGCTCCAAAAAATGCAAACACCATTTATTGAAAGTTTGTTATAAACACTTAACATGTACTTTCTCATTCAGTGCTTACCAACCACACATATAAAGTATAATTTATCCTGGTTTTATAGAGGATATTGGGGCTGCAAGAGATTAAGTAACTTGACCAGCCGTGAAGAGGCAGAATTAGAGTAAAAAGTGCGATCCAGAAGTCTTGTACTAATGCTCTGAGAGAGCCATGTTACAACGTGTGCTTACAGCCACTGCCCTCCATTCCCTTTCTTCTAGGCTGGATTCATGCTGTGTATACTCCTACAGACACGTTAGTGTTTGGAGGCAATTTTTTGCATAGCTTCAATATCCCCATGCAGTTAAAAATATACAACATTGAAGATCGGACACGGGTAAGTAACTCTATGTAATAATTGGATTTGAAGAGGTTTCTTATATCTTTCTTTACTCTGCTTACTATGTAACACTCAAACTGTTATACTTTAATATATAAATGTGTATACTGCCTTTCTTAACTGGGGTTGTGTGAGAGAATGAAGCCCTATAGCAAATGACTTGTGTGGCTTCTTTTGTCAGTTTTCCATAGGATGTTACATAGCTGATAAACCATTCTGGATATATAGGGGGAAAGTTACATGCATTGGATACCTTAAGGCAAGAATTGGCAAACTTTTTTTTTTTTTTTTTTTTTGCTGTACGTGGGCCTCTCACTGTTGTGGCCTCTCCCGTTGTGGAGCACAGGCTCCGGACGCGCAGGCTCAGCGGCCATGGCTCACGGGCCCAGCCGCTCCGCGGCATGTGGGATCCTCCCGGACCGGGGCACGAATCCGCGTCCCCTGCATCGGCAGGCGGACTCTCAACCACTGCGCCACCAGGGAAGCCCTGGCAAACTTTTTTTGTAAAGGATCAGATAGTAAATATTCTAGGCTTTGTGGGCCATACAGTATCTGTCACAAGCACTTAACTCTGCTTTGTAGAATGAAATAACTTAAATAAGTGAGGATGGCTCAAATAAAATAACATTTTATTTATGGATACTGAAATTTGATTTCATATAAATTTCTCATGTCACAAAACCCTCTCTTAGTTAAGTTTTCTTCCCACCCCAACCCCAGCCATTGAGAATGTGATATGTTAACAACTGGTGAATCTTGGGGACGCTGTGGAAGTCTTAGTGGTACTGCTCTTTAAACTTTTTGGTGGATTTGAAAGTTTTCAAAATCAAAAATCAAAACATAACAATTAATGAAGAATTCACAACTTTTAGAAGGAGTAGTCACTGACCAGTTTACTGTGAACATGATCAGTTAACCATTTTGGTGCCTATTTTGAAAACATTTATTCTGGTTGGAGCTATTATATTATACGTAAGATGTAAGATTGGTATTGTTGGAGTTATAGGGATTGCCCTGTTAGAATTGAGAGGATGCAGTGCTTTTTAAATAAATTTTATAGAAGTGAACTTCTGCTTGTTTGTTAAAAGTAATGAAACTACAGAAAACAGTAAATAGTTTAGTAAGTTTTAAGTTATAGTAACAGTAAAAGTAGTTAAAATGTTTCAAAAGAGAACAATTACATAATTTCATAGTAAAATACTCTTATTTAACTCAAAATCATTCTAAGAGGTAATACCACCTACACTGCTGTAAGATTCAATCTGAAAATGTTTTTAAAAAGCATTCCCTTTTTTGGCTAAAAATAGCTATTATACCCATAGCTTAATTGTTTGCTCAGTTTGAGGGAAGAAAGGGAGAATATATATTCAATGGCATAGGTAAAATGAGCACCTTATCTCTGCATGAAAATTTTCCTTCAGACGGTTAAACTGGTAATAACTGATGTTGATTTATCTGTCTAATTTTCCTGGACTTTGTTTATCAGAAAATGTCAAATTTCAGTATCTAATTGCTATATTATTCCATTTTTCCTAAGAACGGCTTAATTCTTTCATTCCAAATAGGAACCCTTCTGTGTTTCTATAACATTTCATTGGGTCCTCTACATATGTACACACAGAGCCTTTTTTTTTTTTTTTTTTTTTTTTACTTTCTACACCAAGCTTTTACATTGCCAATACCAACCTGACATATGTTTATTATGTTACAAACTTGTGTAAATTTACAGAATTTAACTTAAAAGAGAATGTGTAGAGAATGCTTTAGGAAAGAAATATAAAGTGTTGTAAATTTAAGACAATGTTTTGGTTACTTTGGCCATGCCAGTGTAGAAATATACTATTTGAACTTGATTGTTGGTAATTATTCTATTGATAGCTCTTAAAGGCTCAGTAATTTTATAATGAGTATTAAAATTTTTTCTTCCAAAAACATTCTAACCCAGTCTTAGAAATTGCTGTGCTCTGTGGTATCTAGCAGCATAGGTAAAATGTAATGGCACAGTTTGGGTGTGTGATGTCTTGGCTATTACTAGTACAGTCTCTTGAGTTCCAAGTGAAAAATCAAAAGTTTAATGCCCGTTTTATATTTTATTTATTTATTTATTTATTTTCTGCCAGTATTACTCCGCTCTTAACAGAGTCCCAGAGGTTTTAGAATTTTGGGTTGTCCTGAACTTTTAATAAAGACCTTTCAGAAAAGTGTTAATAAAACTTAAAAGGCGAGCAGAGAAGTCCAGTATATTATGTTTTATTTGGGGGGGATCAAGTATCTATTAATTCTTGTGTTCCCTCCTACTGTACCAGAAGTAAATTAATTTGATTTTCAAATAAGGGTGGATAAACCTCTTCTAGTTGTTAAAGATGTAGTGGCAATAAGAGACCGAGATTTGGAGCCTGAAGCCTGTGCGTTTTAAAGCTAATGAAAAGTACATGTGTCTCCTGCCTTGCAATGAGGAAAGTGATCTCCTCATTCCACAGTGACGCCCTGTGACCTAGTGAAGGGTTTTGAAAAGGGACTCGCATCTGGGTCTCCTTGACTGGGGAAGACTACCTGACATGGAGCTTTGAAAGGAGGTGGGAACATTTTCAGGAGTTACATATTCAAAACAATCCTAAAAGTATTGTTTGCCTTATCCTTTTGAGAGATGGCCTCTCTGAAAGAAGATGGGCAGGACATACAGGCATACCTCAGAGATATGGCAGATTTGGTTCCAGACCACTGCGATAAAGCGAATATTGCAGTAAACTGAGTCACATGAATTTTTTTGGTTTCCCAGTGCATATAAAAGTTATGTTTATTATATGTAGTCTGTTAGTGTACAGTAGCATTATGTCTTAAAAAAAAAGTAGATACCTTAATTAAAGTATACTTTATCGCTAAAAAAATGCTAACCGTCATTTGACAGTGCAGGGTTGCTACAGACCTTCAATTTGTAAAACTCAGTAAAGCAAAAGCACAATAAAATAAGTTATGCCTGTATTTAGGATAGTCCCCATGGTTGATCTTTCTCACTCGTTGACCCATGCTGATTTGCCATTTCCTTGACTATGGTAGATCTAAAGGGCAATTATTTTTATTATAATTCAGCTGGAATAATTTCATGCTACTTTTGGGGAGAATTGGAAAGAAGACTAAAGATAGCAACTGATTAGGCCACGTGGAGTAGTAACCTGATTTGTGGACATACCATTTTAGTAGACTACAATGTATGAGACAGGCAAGCTGAGAGTTAATAGTGGGGGAAGTACTCAGTCTCATGTCCTAGACTAGATATACCTTGAGAATGCATCTCTAATCATACTTTCATATATGTAAGGATATAATAAAAACATATAACTTTATCTCATGTCCTGATTTCATGTTATATTCTGTGTTTCATGGCCTTCTGGTTCAGGGTAAAACCATAGTAAAGGCAAGAGTGGTTGGTATGCCTTTGTATCCTAAGAACCCTAAAACAATTTTCTCAATTAAGTATATTGTGTCTTACTAACATTTTACTCTCTGTCTTGAAACTTGTTTTTGTTGCTTTCCCACTCAGCAAGACAGCTTCTTGATAGTTCTAAATGGTCTTTCCAAGTACCTTTTATCTTTAGTGATTATTTCCCAAGACCAACATTTTCTAAGTTGACAGATCCACTTAAGTTCTTGCTCCACATGACAACTTAGGTTTGCAGGTTACTTAGAGAGTGTTTTTCCTGGGCTAATTATTGCAGTGATTGTTTGTTACTCTCTTTCCTTGAAAAGTGTTATCAGCTTGACTTTTTCATCATTTTTTTCCTGTGTAGGTTCCAAATAAGTTCCGCTATCCATTCTACTATGAGATGTGTTGGTACGTGTTGGAGCGCTATGTGTACTGCATAACCAACCGTTCCCACTTAACTAAGGAATTTCAGAAAGAGTCCCTTAGCATGGGTAAGTGTTCCACCTGCATGAACTTTCAAGATACTCTGCAGGACTGAGGGTGAGACTGGGACTCTTCCGTAAGCTGTTGCTCAGTAGTTTTGTTTTGTTTTTAATTAATTAATTAATTAACTTATTTATGGCTGCGTGGGGTCTTCATTGCTGCGTGCGGGCTTTATCTGGTTGTGGCGAGCAGGGGCTACTCTTCGTTGCGGTGCATGGGCTTCTCATTGCGGTGGCTTCTCTTGTTGCAGAGCATGGGTTCTAGGCAGTCAGGCTTCAGTAGTTGTGGCACATGGGCTCAGTAGTTGTGGCTTGCGGGCTCTAGAGCGCAGGCTCAGTAGTTGTGGCACACAGGCTTAGTTGCTCCACAGCATGTGGGATCTTCCCAGATCAGGGCTCGAACCTGTGTCCCCTGCATTGGCAGGCAGATTCTTAACCACTGCACCACCAGGGAAGTCTAGTAGTTCTGTTTTTATAGTTTGTCTTTTTTACTTATCTACTTTGAAGTACCAAATCCATTCACTGAAGTTGAACACTGGTTACAGCTGATCCTCCTACCCAGATGTGAATTACTAGGGCTAAATGAAATATTCTTTGTCTCATCTTTGTCTGAGTTGTTAGTACTTAGCTCCTCACAAAAGTAATCAGTTGGAAATTCCCTGGTGGTCCAGTGGTTAGGACTCCGCACGTTCACTGCCATGGCCCAGGTTCAGTCCCTGGTGGGAGAACTAAGATCCCGCAAGCCACACAGCGCAGCCAAAAAAAAAAGAAGAGTAATCAGTTGTCTAAAATGTTTTATTCTGTAAAGAATGGTCTTTGGCACAATAAAAACTAGGATCGTACCATCATAATTACTCTTACTATATTCCAGGCACCAAACTAAGCAGCTTATATACATTAAGTTATTATTATTAGCTGTGAGGTGTAGGTATTATTATGCATATTTTACAAATGGGGACATTAAGGTTCAAGGAGATTAAAAAACTCATTTGTGATCTAAGAGTTAGTAAGTGGGAAAGCTACAGCTTAAACCATGTTGGTAAGATTCTAAAATGTATTTTCTTAACCTCTGTGCTTTAATGTTTCCCCAACTTCTATCAAGAGAAATATTTTATCGGATGTCAAGATAGTTTCAGTTATACATTTTTAGGCTATTCCATGCCTTAAAAATAAAGAGGAGCCAACACTGTAGTATCCTGTGGTCATATATTTAATGGAGAGTCTTCAATCCAAGCAAGATACTTTTTGCCTTAGCATTTCTGAAACATGCTCACCAATACATGAAAGCAAGATACAGAATTGTACATACAGCATGATCCTAATTTTGTTTAAAAATACATCAAGTCGGGCTTCCCTGGTGGCACAGTGGTTAAGAATCCGCCTGCCAATGCAGGGGACACGGGTTCGAGCCCTGGTCTGGGAAGATCCCACATGCCACAGAGCAACTAAGCCCACGTGCCACAACTACTGAGCCTGCGCTCTAGAGCCCACGAGCCACAACTACTGAGCCCATGTGCCACAGCTACTGAAGCCTGCGCCCCTAGAGCCGTGCTCTGCAACAAGAGAAGCCACTGCAATGAGACGCCCACGCACCACAACGAAGAGCAGCCCCCGCTCGCCACAACTAGAGAAAAGCCCGTGCGCAGCGATGAAGATCCAACGCAGCCAAAAATAAATAAATTAATTAATTAATTAAATTACAAGGTTTACCAAAAAAAATACATCAAGTCATAGTCATACACATATGTATAGCAAAAGATGGAAAGAAGATACATCACACTGAGTTGTTATCCAAGGGTGGAGAGATATGGGATGACTTATTTACTTCTTTGCATCTTCCTGTATTTTCTAAATTATTAATAGTCAACATGTGTTACTTTCATAATAAAAGATCAGTTAACATTTTAAAATTCTTCTTTCATTAAAACTTCTTTTTTCACTTTGTTTTGATTACCAAAATCTTTCTTTTAAAAAATATTCACTTTGTTTTATTAGCCATGTTGCTAAGATTTCAATTCCAAAGCTTAATTTTATGGTGAAAACTTTGAACAAAACTACTTTTTAAATATATGTGCTTCATACTATTTTTTTAAAAGATAATGAAATCCCATAATACCCAAATTAAGTTTGAACTTGAAACTAATTTACAGCTATTTTCATAGGTAACTTATTTCTAGCACACAGTTTAAAGACTGCACCCTTCCCAATCTTTTAAAAATCCAGTTGACTGTTACCTCAGTTGTCCTGCTAGCTCAGGATCCTGTTTTTACCTGTAAATGGTTTTCAACAGTGGACAAATGGGTTGGAATAGGGAAGACCATTTTTAAAATGTGACAGCTTTGTCATTTATAACCTCAAGGCCCCTCCCATACTACCTATTTCTCTTGTTGATCACATGGCCTTGTGTCATGTTCTTACTGCATTTTCTCTTCATACTGGCAGATTTGGAGTTAAATGGGTTGGAGTCTGGAAATGGGGATGAGGAAGCAGTAGATCGAGAACCCCGGCGCTTGAGCAGCAGGCGTTCTGTCCTCACTAGCCCTGTAGCCAATGGGGTTAACCTGGATTATGATGGACTGGGCAAAACCTGCCGAAGTCTTCCAAGTCTGAAGAAAACTTTGTCTGGGGACTCATCCTCTGACTCTAGCCGGGGCTCCCACAATGGCCAAGTATGGGATCCCCAGTGTAGCCCCAGAAAGGACCGACAGGTGCATCTGACCCATTTTGAGCTTGAAGGCCTTCGTTGCCTTGTAGATAAATTGGAGTCTCTGCCACTGCACAAGAAATGTGTCCCTACAGGGATAGAAGACGAAGATGCTCTCATTGCTGATGTAAAGGTAAGGGTTGGTTATTTTGCATGACAGCTATTGATCTGGCTAGGGCATTCAGTTTCTGGATTCTGAGAGAAAATTTGGGAGTTTTGGGTAATCTTGATTCAGCAAGAAAGAAGTTAAGTGTGTGTGTGTGTGTGTGTGTGTGTGTGTGTGTGTGTTTGGGCTGTACAATGTTTCAATTCCTAGAATGAGGTTAGGTCCCTGTTATGAAAATACTAACATTTGTACGTTCAGTTAGGACTTAAATCTAGTCCTAAAAATGCTGATTTCAGGCTGACCCTAAAAAAAGGAAGAGCCGGAGAAAATGTTTGTATTAAGAAATGTTACTTTGAACTTAAGTTACACTAAGATAAAGAGGCCTATTTCAGAACAAAAGTGGCCAATAACAATCTCTAGCAGTCTTACCCCAAGCAGATTTAGAGGAAAGAAATTGAAATGTTGGGTTATGTTGAGCGTGTTTAACTTATTTAGCTTCAAATTTATCTAGTATTAAGACTTAAATACATTGGGGCAACTTTTGAGAAAAGTGTCATTTTAAACATAATTCATCCTATTGCTATATCAAGTTTCTTGTTGTATATTTTTCTTCTTTCTCAATAAGTCTCCAAGCATTAGTAATCTTCAAAGCCCAGCCCAGCCCTCATATATTGGTCTCAAAGAAATGAGCTTATTTTTAAGGAATCCAGATTTGAGCTGTCTGAACTGGAGAGAGTTCTATTAAATCTCTCCTTATACATAAACACTGGGGACTTCCCTGGTGGTCTAGTGGTTAAGACTCTGCGCTGCCACTGCAGGGGGACATGGGTTATATCCCTGGTTAGAGAACTAAGATCCCACATGACACCCACCGTGGACACACACACACACACACACACACACACACACACACACACACACACACACACACACACAGTAACCATTAATATGAACACCAAAAAGTCTTTAAATCACTGTTTGGAATTATGTCTTGGATGCAGGGCATGGGTATGTGTATTAGAAAGTTAGTTCACCATTTGTAGCAAGTGTTATTTTTCAGACCTGTCATATAGATTGTTTTAAGCCACAGAAGAATTTATAAGGAATAATTTTAGTGACCTCAAGGAAGATGGGCAAAATATCTCATAGTACATCTTTTCCATTCCTGATTCAAGTTTTCCCTTGGCCACCACTAACCAACCAGCTGAGGTGCTCCCTACCTTCTGCCAGATACCTCAGGAAAGAATTCCAAAGACTGGGATAGGACCTAGACTTAATTTTTTTAATGTTTTCTTTCTTCCATTGACATTTTAACTATATCTTACTGTTTATGCATCAGTGAAATGGTAAAACCTTTAAGAGACTAAAAGGGGTGGTACCCTAGTGAGGTTGGTCCTCTCCATAGTGATAGAAGCTAGACAGTTGGTTTTATAGTTTGGTTTTATACAGCTGTTCTAGACAAGACAGGTGGTTATCATTGTGGCTTGTATTTATGGGAGGAAATAACAAAGTTCCAGGTGGGTGTGGTCCTATATCTGTCATGATTAATGTGCAGCAAAACAAACTTAGCCTACTTTTCCAGACTCACAAACCAGTTTCCAAACTCACTTCCCACCCCTGAGTGAACAAAGGGCACTTACATTTTTTCTTTTCCATTGTGATGGGACGTGTATAATTATGTTTTCCTGAGCGTTTGAGTGTAACATCATCTTTTTTTCTACAGAAGTTTCTCCTTTTTTTGGCCGCGCCGCGTGACTTTCACGATCTCAGTTCCCTGACCAGTGATTGACCCCAGGTCACGGCAGTAGAAGCCTAGAATCCTAACCACTAGGCCACCAGGGAACTCCCCAGAAGTTTCTTTTTTCATGTAGCTATTCCATCATGGATGCATGTAGGAAACATTAAATCATGACTTTGGCGCCTTATTAACTTGTATAATTGCCTTTAGGAACCCTAAGAAGAAAGATTTGTAAGTTTATCTCTCACTAACGTTCCTGTGGCCTGGGGAATCTGTATTTCTAATTCATGAAAAAGAAAAATATCTTTTTAATCCTAAAGGATGTCTATAGATGGATTTGATTTCATTGAATCCAGTTGTAGGAAGTCATATTATAATTCACTAACCAGTTGTACAGGTCAAATGTCATGATAGAAATACAGAAACTCCCTTAACTAATGTAGTTAAATAAGGATATTTGCAGAGGCAGAGTGGTAGGGGAAAACGTAGAAAGATTTGTGTCAAATATTAAGCAGAGTAAAAGGAGGCAGCAAGAAAGGGAATGAGTTAAGAAGAGCCATCTAAAGAGAACTCTTAACACTGTGAAAAGTGTCTAGAGAGAGCTTCCTGTTTATCAGGAATCATGGAGAATCTGGCTGCCATTGCTCACCAAGACAGAGTGGCATAGAGACCAGAGCATGAGGAACGAGTGGCCCAGTGGGATGACTGCATAGACTGACAGTGTTTGAATTCTCCCTTCTCTTGTTTACCCAATACCATAGTCAAAATGTAGCTGATAACAGAAGACAAAAGATTTAGAACCCAGTTCTGCAGGTAGTTTCACTTAAGATCAAATGGATTATTCGTATATTTGACCAGTTATATTTAATCTGAGCTTTAGATAACACTGAGTTTATGGCTTAAATACTTCGAGAATCTAAGCATCACCAAAAAGAAAAAAGCATTGGATTGGGTGGGTGCCGAATCACTGCCACAGCTGGAGACTGCAGTGCTAGAAAACTTGGTGCTGTGGTAGCACAGAAGGCTACACTGCAGCAAAGGACAAAAGCAAGCCCAGAGTTTACCCTTCCTGCAGAGGGAGGGATTGTTTCTTCTTGTAGCCTATATGACTTTCACAAATAACTAGGAGAAGAGATGAGAGGAAAATTGGTGGATATCTCAAGACATCCATAATTACCTGTTCCCTGAGAGAAAAGTCAATTTTACTGATGTGGTAAAAGGGCTTTGAAGATTCTAAAATGTTCTACAGTGTTGAAGAAAGATCATAGAGTATAGAGTTTGAAGGGAATTAGATGAAAAATGAGGCATTAAAAAGTTTTGATTTATTGGCAGAGTTCAGGGGAAAGTAATGAGCATGTGTAAAGTCCTATTTGGGAGGGGTGTGAGTAACCTTGGCTCCTAATCTAAAATTGAGAGGCTATGTCCTTGAGAAATGTTGAATAAAGAAGCAGGACCTGGAGCAGTATGTATAGTGCAACCCCATTAATGTAAGAAAAAGTGTCTTTGTTTGTATGTGCATTACAGCGGGGCTGGAGGGGGGCATATCAACTGCTGACAGTGCGTCATAGCAAGATGGTGGGAGTCGGCTGGAAGACTGAATTTTTAATCAGACTTTACTGTTCTGTTTGTGTTTATTTTGGTAATAAAGGAGCTCTTAATGTATGTGTGGGTGTGTGTATGTGTGTGTGTGTGTATTATATAAAGAAGCTTTTAATATATCAATACATTTGGCTGCCCAGCTCACTTAATGAAACAATTTCAGTGTTACTGAATATTATTCTACTTTCCTATTTTCTCTAAAACATTTTGATAAGCTTGGCAAACATGTGACTTTTGGGCAGGATACTAGATCTATAAAAGCATGTTTTCTCCTCTGTAAAATAACATCTACCTCAGTGGGGATGTTGTGAAAATTAATGATAATGTTAGTAAAGTACTTAATAAACAGTATCATTATTACAGAAAAAAATTAACTGTTACAAATCTATGAAACTCACTTATTCCACTAATGTGAATAATGCCTGCCTACTCTCTGCCAGGAACCAGGCTTAGAGTTGGTATAAATATGCGAACATACTGTGGACCAAACCCTCAGGGGGCTTATAGTCCAGTGGTGGAGCAGGCATTTTAAGTGGGCTAAGAAAGTAAGTGCCTTCTAGGTTTACAGGTGCTGGGCATGACACTGAGGGGGCGGGTGGTCGATTCTGTTCTAAGGGAAGGAGGTGCCAGTCTTTTTAATTTACCAGTTAATAAACTTTCCTGTTAGATGATACAGATTGATTACTACAACATTATCTAAATGATGAAAGCTCTCAATTTATAAATTTGAAATTTTTTCTTTGTGGTACAATTGGCTACTGCTGCTCTAAGATTCTAACATTTTATTTTGTAACTGTGATGTAAAAATTTACAGGAGTATGATGGGACTGAAGCAGAGAGTTACGGTTGTGAATAAATACAGAAACACTAATCAGAAATTTCCTTCATCTGACACTTTGGGAGTGATTCTGACACTAATAAAGAGAAGAGCTGATAGAGGACCCAGTGTAATTAGAACTTAGTCCATTAAGCCAGATGAGGAGGAAAAAAAAGAACTTGTATAAATAAAACTTCATTTGCAATTTTTACTGACAAGATATTTGTAATAATTCACATATTCTTACTGACTAAAAAGTTTTAAATAACTCAGCTCCAAGGCATATAGGTTAGGTTAAAATAGATACAATTATTTAAAAGTATTTTCATTATATTCCTGTATTATATAATGTTATATTCTTATTCTCATCTTTGTTGCCTATCTTTTATTCTGAATTAATAAGAGAAAAAAATTAGGTCTTGTTTAATGTGTGATTTGAAAACTTACCTGGAGTGAGTTTCCTAGTGCCCTGTCTGGTTTTTGTCTTTTTCCGGTGGCCTTTAGAATTTCTGCTTGCTACAACTTGAACTTTTGTTTTGTTTTGGAGTAACTTGTTTCTCAAGTATTTGTGCATACTTCATCATCCCTCTAGGTTAGATAACACTAAGACCAAAACAAGCATTTTCCAAGAAGACCTCTCACACCTGTTAAGGAAGGTTTTTCTAACATAATAGACTAGGGACTTCCCAGGCAGTCCAGTGATTAAGACTAATTACACAGGGTCTCTGAGTCTTAAGATAAAGTGCAAATGAGGTTTAGGACTAGAATGACCATTCAAACATTTCCAGGAAGAGCTCCACAGAAGAGCACGAAAGTCCCTCCTTTTCCTTGGTAAACTACTGTAAAAATTAAAATATGCAGAGCCCGGCATCCAAAGCCCCAGGCCCCAGAGAGCCTATTAGGCCATTGACTGCGCCAGAAACTCACTTAAACAACTGTCCTGGAATAAGCTAGAATAAATAAGCATGTTTCCAGTGGTTAAGAGCTAGGTTCTCAGTGGCCTGAGATGTTTATTTCAAAGCAGCTTCTGTCATTTCCAAAAAAGCCAAGTTACATTTATTAGAGTCTAAAAATTACATAAATCTGGCCCCAATATATGGGACACTGTAGCCTGAGAGAGTGCTCATTCTGTCTGAGTTTAACCCTGACCGTGGATTGGTGCGTGGAGAGTGGGTGACACGTGTCACTCGAGTGGCCGTCAGAAGTGGCATGAAGGTGTCTGACAGGATGTGAGGCTGGCTGCTTCATCCAGGGAATATCAAGAAAGAGGCAGGCAGAACAGACAACTGGCATAGGCATAGGAGATGTGCAGGAGTGCTGGTGTCCTGAGGGCGGGGTAGTCCAAGGGGCAGGGTCCCAGGAGACTGGCAGGTGTGGAGTTGGCAGCTGCACTTCCCCTGGTTCCCTGTGCCTGGTTCCGAGGTAGGAGAGGTAGGAGAGTAAAGCTCCTTGACCTGAGATTGCGCCTCAGCTGGTCTGACTCGGTCACGAGGGAACTGCCAGCAGAGCTGCCCAGGCGGTTCTCTCACTGTGGGAGGCTCCCTGGGTGGTGAGCAGAGGCCGGGATCTGTTGTGGAAGTAGCTGATATTAAACAGCCGTATTGTATTGAATACCTCAGTATTGGTTGAAATGTGTCATTCTGAAGGTTTTTCTGGGAACGTGTGCTGGTTCTGGATTCTGGGCTGGGGGAGGGGCAGGTGAAGCAGGCCGGTTGTTCAGGGAGTGAAGGTAACTCCAGAGGAGCTCAGCTCCGGGGCCTGGCTCAGCTGCAGAGGCTGAACTTCGGGCGACTCGCTGTCTGCCTGAGAGTGGGGAGAGATCGGTGTGTGCAGCCAATGAGAGCACCGGCCGTGACCATAAGAGGTGACCCTGAGAGGAAGGGTGTGGACCGAGGCAAGGACGAATGGGACCAGACTTGGAATGGGTTAAATAAAGCCTTGCCTTTGCTGGCGCCTTCCGAAGTCAGCCAGCGAGAGCCCTGGGGGCCGGCCCTGGGTTCTCCTCTTGCGGTGACGGTGGGAGGGAGAAGGCGGGGCGTGGCCGGCTCACCTCCCCGGCGGGCTCTCCTCCAATCGCCGGGCAGAGAGCGCCTGCCCAGCACACCCCCTCCTGACTCTGCCGCAGGACGCTGGGCCCTCTGCTGGCTTGCTCACTAGAGCTCGGCTCCCCTCCTGCCATCTTCCGTTGCAAAGCATTTCTGGGAGCTGCATGTGGGTGACGCAGCAGCATTGTTCGCAGGCACAGGAAGCCGCGGCTGAGCTGAAGGGCTCGAGAAGGAGCTTAGAGCACTGCACGCCGCTCCCTTTGGGTAACCTGAAGGGGTTAGCCCGACTGTCCTGCCTTAGCTGCTCTGGGAGATTTAAGAATTTTCAAGTAAATTGGGATTTTTCCTAGAGGCAGAAAACCTAAGTCCTTCAGCACAACTTCCAATACAGAAAGCAAAACAAAGACGCTGGGGAAACTTCAACCAAGAGCCTCGGCAGCTCCAGAGCGACGAGAAACGCAAGGTCAGGCAGGCGGGCGGCAAACCCTTTCTGGTTCGGGGTGTATGTAACTGTAGGGACTTTGTCTTGGTGAAGAGGCAGAAGAACTGCCTGCCGAGCGAGTCCGGGACAATGCTTAGGTGTTGGTTGTGCCGTCACTGCACTTGTTCCCCTCCTGGTGGGATGTGCTTTCAAATTGGGTCGTTTGGCTTTTGGGAATCTTTTCCCCTTCTCTACTCAGGCGCCCGCCGTTCTCTTCCCCTTCCTGGGCTGTGTCGGGTGTGGGCTTGTGCTTGAACATTCTCTCGAATGCCAGGAGCCTAGATAGGCGTCAGCCTTTGCGCACTCCACCCCCGCTCCCTGTCCCAAACCCCCTCTGGTGAAGGGTGGTGGCTTCTTTATATGGTTTCTTGAAGGGCCTCAGCTGGAGTCTGCCTTTTTTGATGAAGGCAGGACGTGCTTGGTCGTATGGCCCCGGTGAAATAAGGCTTGGAAGGAAATCTGCATTTCCCTCCACACCCACACAGACCCTAGTAACTGAGTCGTGTATGTGTGAACAGCTGACCCCCTCCACCCGCCCCGCACCCCAACACAGACACAGTTTCTCCACCTACCCTTCCCTGTCCCCCACAGAAGTCTTGCAGGTGGACTGCTTTTGGTGAATAGTTAGGTTCCTTTTCTACTCTTAAACAATTGCGGATCTTTCTGTGTAGTCTGTTTTGCTGAAAGTGGAAAGTCCCTGTTTGTGGACAGCTCAGTGCTCGCAGGCAGAGGAAATGGGCAGAGTCCTACTCCTCGGCAGTGCGAAGTGGGGGAGGGGAGCCGTGCACTCCCTAGCACACATTTTGAATGGACCTGAATTTTTCACCCTGGGGAGATTAGGAGCCCGTACCAGAGCCTAGTCCCACGTGGCACTGCACCCCGCCTCTTCACCCCCACGCAGTGTGGTGCTAAGAGGAGGCTCCAGAATAGGGTGCCATAGCAACTCGAAGTAAATAAAACGTCTGCAAATGAAATCAGTTTGGGGGAGTGTGAGAGGCATCTGGAGATTTGGCAAAGGGGATCATCGTGGAGGAGCTTCATGGATATGAGTTAAAGGGTCTTTCTGAGTCCCAACTCTGGATTTGGAGCATGATCCTTAAGTTAAGGATGAAAAAACTTGGTAGAGAAATGCCTCATGCTTCAAAAAGTCCTGGTCTCTAGGCACAGACCCCACAGGGTTATGAGAATTATTATTAAAAATGGCCCAGGCATGCTAGCCTGTCCAGGATCAAAGTTTACTTTTCCCTGAAACAGTTAATATCCTGTATACACCTAAAGGAACCAGAAAGAAATTGTGTAACTTGTCTTCTGGATTTGTGTTTTTTTGCAGTTGCCATTGCCCTAGGGCTCATGAGGTCAGATGAGGAGGGATTTCGTTCTGCTAGAAGGTTTGGGACTCAGAAATTTCTGTCTAAAACGTAAAAGATTTGTTTCAAAATAACACTCAACTAGTGTGACTCACTTGAGTGGCAGTTTCTTACTGTAGAATTGTACCTGAAGTCATTCAAACTAGATTGGCTAGTCATGGGAACTATTGCCTCTAAGGTAGTTCCTGCTCCCCTTTATGGGAATAAAGGCAAATAACTCTGTGTGTGTGTGTGTGTCTGTGTGTGTGTGTAAGAGAGAGAAAGAGAGATTGAGATTTCTGTAATCAGCCTTAGAAGAACACAGCCCGGGGTTGAATCAAGACATTAAGACCCTGCTGTTCATATTATTAATTCAGTATTAGCCAATGCTTTTTTTTGCCACTTTGCCAAAACATCTGCAAAATGAAGGCAGTATTTAAATACATGATAATACTCGTTAACTGGTGTAGAAGAGTAATGGGGTGAGGTCAAGTTTTACTGTCATATATAGAACTGTGTGACAGCACTTGTCACAGTGGTAGCATAAGTGGTTACAGTAAGTACACAAGTATGGGGTTGGAAGCAAAGGTAAATTTGAAGTCTTGATAGTACTGCACTCGTTTGAGTTCTTTTCCATCTTCGATTTGTTTTGCAGTGAGTCTCTCTCTATATGAAGGAAAAATACAGACAGTTGCCAGCCTGCCCTTCACCTTGGTGCTTAGGGGGACTGAGGCTAAGTCTGGATGCTGTTAGGAGTGGTTGGCTCTTTGTTCACTATGTCCTTTTTTCCCCTCTTCTCTCCTGTCTTACCCTTAGATTTTGCTGGAGGAGCTTGCCAACAGTGATCCCAAGTTAGCCCTCACTGGAGTCCCTATTGTACAGTGGCCGAAAAGGGATAAGGTAAGAAATTATTCTTCAGGCTGCTGAAACATTTTGCTGGCTAACCATTACTGTTCCTGGAAGAAAAAGAACAACTAGAGGCAGACAGCTTTGGTTGCATTAGTGTAAACTGACAGAAAATCATTACTCAGTTCTGTTTTGCCTCTTAAGTCAGGATAATTGGCTATCTTTGGAGGTGACTCTCTTAACAGAACTGTCAAACTAGGAGACCTGCCTCCAGGTTCAGATGCCAAGAATGGATCAGTTGCTATCCTTCTGGCCCAGTGACTCAATTATTTTCATACATCTGATGTAAAACTAGTTAAAATAATTGCATATACATTTAAAAGGCTAGATGTCTATATTGGAGTGAGACCACACTCTCAGGGTTTCCCCTTAATTTGGACTTTTCAGTCTTGAATTGAAAAGAGAGGAAAGCAGTTGCCCATTAGTTAGTAAATTGTCAGTTATGAATTTTCATGCCTCTTCAGTCAGGTCCTGTATAGTTTTTTCCCATATTGTCCTTTGTCAAGGTCAGTGATAGCATTCTGATCCTGGTTGTGAGTCTGGCAAATAAATTAGGCCCTGCTGTGGTTCCCTAGCTAAAACTTGCAGAACCATCACATTCCAGGAACGTTTAGGCAGAATATAAAGGTGTGTATCTAAAAGATGTCTTTGAAAAACCACTTCCTCCTTCCTAAGTAGTGTCATCCCACTTGGCTCATGCATGGCCACATGGGACTGCCTCAGAACAGCATTTCTGGCCCTGGCTGTTGAGTGTTCTGTGTCAGAAAAGTACTTAAGGCACAGTGGGAAATTAAAGAAGTGGAAGGCATAGTCCTTGTTCTTGAAAAGATAACCAGCAGGGTAAAATACAAGTGCTAAAATTATAAACATATACCTTAGAGATTTATTCCACCCTTAACTATTATTGGACTGTCTGTGTACCAGGTTGTAGGCTTGGATTTGGAATAATAAAGAACAAGACTGGTCTCACCCTCAAGTAGTTTACTCTCTTCTTCAGGAATGTATTCTGAGTAGTAATATTCAGGATAAGGAAATATTAGAGTGCCCCTGGAATGACTTTGGTACATAGAAAGTTTCAGGGAAGGGTAGCTCAGCAGAGTGAGGGGCATGGGGCTGAAGTAGTCTGAAGGGATTGGCAAACCTTTTCCATAAAGACAATATGTGGGTAATAAATATAATAAATAAAGATACTTTTTTTAGGTTTTGCAGGCCATACAGTCTGTTGCAGCTTCTCAGTTCTGCCACTGCGCTTGAAAGCACCCATGGACAAAACATAAACGAAGGAGCATGGTTTTGTTCCAATAAAATTTTATTTACAAAAACAGGCAGTGGGCAGTTTGCCCTCTGGCCATAGTTTGCCAAGCCATGTAATGATCTACCCCCTCCAGTCCTTAAAACTACCTGATATGTTTGACCTCACTGCTTTCTCTTTTCTAGCTTAAATTCCCGACCCGGCCAAAGGTGCGGGTTCCTACCATCCCCATCACAAAGCCTCACACTATGAAACCAGCTCCACGGTTAACACCTGTGAGGCCAGCTGCTGCCTCCCCCATAGTGTCAGGAGCCAGGCGGAGACGAGTGCGATGTCGAAAATGCAAAGCCTGTGTGCAAGGAGAGTGTGGTGTCTGCCACTACTGCAGGGACATGAAGAAGTTTGGGGGCCCTGGTCGCATGAAGCAGTCCTGTGTTCTCCGGCAGTGCTTGGCAGTGAGTGATCTGCTGGGTAAAGAATATGGGGGAGGGGGGGTGGTACCAGGGGACTGAAATACACATAGTGTAGACTTCAGAGTTGGGAAGACAAGGTTTTGCTCTCTTTATGGCTTTCTTCATTTTGTCCCTTTTTTCTCTGGGTTTAGAAAGAAGGTATCTAATATTTAAAATAATCGAATTTACTCTTTCAGCCTTAGCCAATTTTCAAATGAGGGACCAGCATTTGAAGGGCAAATCACTGCTGTCTGTCCCCTCTTTAAGTGGATTAGAAAGGAAGGACCTGAGAGGCCAAGGACAGGCCAACTGAAAATAAACTGATCTCTTTTGGTCTCTTGTCCTCAGCTAGTTGACTCTCCCCATTTTCTTCCTTAGCCATTTTTCCTGCCAAAACCTCTCTTCTCACCACCTGGTCTCTGTGCTAAGTGTTTACTAGAGAATTACAGGAACCAAATCGTCCATCTTTGGTTAAAGGGAAGCTGAAATGATAAGGATCTAAGCCTGCTCTTTTCTTGGTTTCTGTCTTTGTCCTCTTGTAGCCCAGACTGCCTCACTCAGTCACGTGTTCCCTCTGTGGAGAGGTGGATCAAAATGAGGAGACACAGGACTTTGAGAAGAAACTCATGGAATGCTGTGTCTGCAACGAGATTGTTCATCCTGGCTGCCTCCAGGTGAGGAGAGGCCTAAGGGGCCCATGAGGTCTCCGCTTATAGAATGTCTAAAGATACTGAGTGGAGCAGAGGAAAGTGGAACATCTGTCATGAGAGGCTGGCAGCATCCCTACTGTGGGCCATCAGCTGTGGGTCATGTAGTGGTCTAACATCTGCTCTTGATTCAGTGTCTGTATTCAGTGTCAGGCACTGTGCTAGACCCTGAGGATAAACCGGTACACAAAATAGTCCTGGTTCCTACCCTCATGGAGCTTATAGTGTGGCCTCTGGTGGGTATGTTTGGAGTCCCCAGGCCATCGTGGCATAGCCTAGTCTGTTTTGGAATGCCTCATGCCTTTAAGTGCCTCTGTTACATACTTCATTTTATCTCTGGATATTAGTTCCTGAAAGATGGTGAGAGTAATACTGTCAGCTAATATTTAATGTGTGTTCAGTCTGTATCAGGCTCGGTGCACACCCAGAGAGATTTAAAAAAAAAAAAAAAAAGTAACAGGAATTCCCTGGTGGTCCAGTGGTCAAGACTCTGCACTTTCACTGCCGAGGGTCTGGGTTCAATCCCTGGTCAGGGAACTAACTAAGATCCCGCAAGCCGCACAGCACAGCCAAAAAAAGTAGTTAGAAGGTTCAAAAAAAAGAAGGTTCAGACCTCAACCTCAGAGGTTGAGTCAACTCTTCTGTCATGGACTCTGGGCCCAGGCATGTTCAAAAGCTCCCCGAGTGATTCTAATGTGCAGCCGGAGTGAAGCACTCTTTTACATATACCCCCTTGTCTGATCTTGAAGACAACCCTGTGAAGTTGGGTCTGACCTCTTTCTTCTTTAAGTTTTCTTTAAATCTAAAGTGCATTGGTGCTGGTACTTTCTTGGTCTTCCTGAAGGTGTCAACTATGTCATGACTGCCACCTGGCTGACAGTGATTATAAGACACTGTTAATTGTGAGAAGCAGCCCAATTTCAGAAGATTCAAATGTGAAAATATGCATCTTAGAGGTGATAAAATAAGGTATTATCTTCATGATGATGACAATGGTTAATACAAAGTGTTTACTACATGCCAGGCATTTTTCTAAACATTTTACATAGTATGTAATTCATTTAATCCTTACCACTACCCTGTAAAATGGGTATTGTTATTTATCCTCACTTAGCAGTTGAGTCACAGAGACCCCAAACCATAACTAAGTCATAACCATTATGCCCCACTGTCAAGATCACACTGGCACTGTTCCTGTGTGTCCAGTTCGTTTTACAAAGTGGCATGAGACCCTCAGGAGAATGTATGTGTCAGGGGAAGAGACCCCAGATTGACCCAGACTCTTGGGAATCTTCTCTTGGAGTCTAAACTTGATCAGGTAACCAAGAGTGAGGATGGCCAGTTTCCCACTGTCTGGGAGTGAGGCCAGATGGTTCTCTATCTTTCTCCCCTGTGGACCAGTGTGTTTAAGAGTGGGTAACTCTTCCCAACCATGTGGCTGTGTTATTGTTTGATAAAGGAAGCTTAAGAGACAGGTTGGGTTTTGTCTGTTTTTTAAATGAGACAGATTTTTAACATCATTATCTGCCTACAGATGGATGGAGAGGGTTTGCTTAACGAGGAATTGCCAAATTGCTGGGAGTGTCCAAAGTGCTACCAGGAGGACAGCTCAGAGAAAACCCAGGTAAGGGAACTTTCTCCAATCCTGCACTGTGAGAAGGAAGGAAGCATCAAGCTCAGGATAACGTTTGCCTTTGCATCTTTATTTGCAAGATTATTTTTTATTCTGTTTTGTTTGCTATCTTTTTTTTTCCTTTGGTTAATTATATTTCTTTTGAGTTTTAAATTTTGTGTTTTTTTTTTTATTATTGAATATTGTCCCCCTTGGGGGTCTGCAAATTCCTGAGGTTCTTTTACACTTTGAGGCCCTTGAAAAAGAGGAGCCACAGCTGGGCTGTTTGAGGAGGGAAATGAGGTGAGCTTGGGCTGCTCATGAGGAATGAAACTTGAGGGGAGGCAGTGACCCGAGTCAGCTGGTAAATACGGTGGTATACTGGAGTTTCCAGTTAGGCAGGTTTACATTTTTGTCATCTTCACCTTTGTGGCAGAAAGCCCTGCCCTCGTGCCCAGTTGTGTCCTACAGAGGCCGTCCCTCCTCTGGAGGGGATCAGTGCCATGACCTTGGCCCCAGGCTACTACTGTTGCTGGTCCGGTGGTCACCAGTAATGTCAAAGGGCCAAAACGGCGCTGGTTACTCCAGCCAGGAAGGCAAGACCTGTTAAGGGCACATACAGAGGAGGCCGTTGGCCTCGTGTCAGTCATCCATGCCCTGGTGGATGATTCCAGGTACCCTGCGCAGGAGTAAGGACACGTTTCCTTGTTTTCTTTCTCTTTCTTCCCACTTAGGCACTGAGGTCATTGAATTTTCAGTCTAAATATCTTTGAGGGCAAGGATTTCTGGAGTTGACTAGTGCTAAAGTTCTCCTTATTCCAAGTTCTTATACTAGCAGCAAGTTCTTTTAGTAATAGCTTTTACATGTGTCTTCACTGGTGGTGGTGGTGGTGGTGGTGGTGGGCGCTTGCTGTAGCAGATGGATTAGCAGATACTGTGTTTAGTATTACCTTCTAATGCATTGTAAAAGCCAGCACCCAAAAGTTGGTCATTCTCTTCCAACCACAGTGATCTAAGAATATAAGGAGAAAAGGGAGCAGAATTGTTGCATAGGGACACAAAATGTCTCCTTAAGGGAAATCTGAGCTACTGCTGTGATACCTAGTGGAGCACATTGGTTAGGCTTCATTGCAGCATAGCCAAGGTGGGCTCCAGGAAGGGACAAGTGACCGGTGAGCACAAGTGGCAGAGGGTGAGGTTGTGCTTTTTTTGTGAGATGTTGGCTTCACCAAACTTGAATTCCTCATTTTCATCCTGAGGAGATTCCTCTGGGAGCAGTGCAGTTTCTCGTTCTCAGCTTAATATCTCACCTGTGGTTGGTCTCCCGGGACAGCGTGGGGCCGCTGAGTGGAAGCAGCAGCCTGGTAGGGTCGAGCTTAGACCGTGGTAGAGCTAAAAGTCAGTAGTGTTTACTGCTATCACAATCAGCATCCTAGTTCAAATATATATGTAGGCTGCTTTTCTTCCAACAGAAGCATCTCTTGGGTGTTTAAAATGGTCAGATGGCATAGGGGTAGAGTTGTGGCCTCTTTAAAGGATTTCTTTACCCAGGGAATTATAACCAAAAAATTGGGACAAGAGATGAATAGGGCAGGCTATGGAATCATGCAGCCCAAATTTGGATCCCACTCCTCTGTACTTGGACACAGACCTTTCTGTCACAGGTAGATTTCCCAAGTGACCTATTTCGAGGGTTTTGCTCTGTAATCAGCTTTCTCCAGCACAGACGTGAGCTCAGTTGCTGATCCTGGCAGAGTCTAGATTGCAGACGGAGGAGATGACCACCCTGCAGCAAGCAGAGATCCCTTTCCCCGTAGAAAAGCAGTGGCCTGCCTTCTCGCTAGTCCTCTGAGAGCAACAGTGAGGTTGACCCTGTAAGTGTAGAGGGTTTTGAAGAAATGAGGCACTGATGTGGCGTTTGGGGGCCTGTTTTGCAGAAGCGGAAAATGGAAGAGAGCGACGAAGAAGCTGTGCAAGCCAAAGTCCTGCGGCCCCTGCGGAGCTGCGACGAGCCCCTCACGCCCCCACCTCACTCGCCCACCTCCATGCTGCAGCTCATCCATGACCCGGCCTCCCCCCGGGGCGTGGTGACTCGTTCATCCCCTGGGGCCGGCCCCAGCGACCACCACAGTGCCAGCCGCGATGAGCGCTTCAAACGGCGGCAGTTGCTGCGGCTGCAGGCCACAGAGCGCACCATGGTACGGGAAAAGGAGAACAATCCCAGCGGCAAAAAGGAGCTGTCTGAAGTTGAGAAAGCCAAGATCCGGGGATCGTACCTCACTGTCACGCTACAGAGGCCCACCAAAGAGCTCCACGGGACATCCATTGTGCCCAAGCTGCAGGCCATCACGGCCTCCTCTGCCAACCTTCGCCATTCCCCCCGTGTGCTAGTGCAGCACTGCCCAGCCCGAACCCCCCAGCGTGGGGATGAGGAGGGGCTGGGGGGAGAGGAGGAGGAAGAGGAGGAGGAGGAGGAGGAAGATGACAGTGCAGAGGAGGGGGGTGCAGCCAGGCTGAATGGCCGGGGCAGTTGGGCTCAGGATGGAGACGAAAGCTGGATGCAGCGGGAGGTCTGGATGTCTGTCTTCCGCTACCTCAGCCGCAGAGAACTTTGTGAATGTATGCGAGTGTGCAAGACGTGGTATAAATGGTGAGCAGGGATACAGGGATCAGGAATAGGGGTATGGGAGTAGGTGGCAGGTTTCCATATGAGAACAGCATGTGTCTTGGCATCTGGAGGCTTGTCGGGTCCTAAAGGATTAAATCAACCCAGTCTGTTCCCCAGACGGTGGGTCCTGTTAAATATGTGGCCAGTTGTGCCTGCAGGTGTCATTGGGGAAATTTGGCCCTTTGCCTCCTCTCCCTGCTACTTTCCCATCTCTCTTTACTGGACTTAAGAATGGATTTGTACATTTGGGCCTGGGGGATGGATTTGTAGTTTGTGCTAAAACTTCAGAGTCATAATCCCCCTACCCCCCAGTCAACTGAACTTGTTATACATTTGTTGAGAGCCTGTGATATGCCAGTCACTCTCCTGGTGCTGGTGACACAGATGACTGCTGTTAAGCCCCTGCCTCAGTTATGTCTCCATCTAACGAGAGAGGTATACATGCTTTTAAAAAACTTTGAAGGTGCTCACAGGCTCACAATTTTCCATAGTTTTAATTCTCATCCTCTAAACCTGGATTGGAATTCCTTTCTCCAGCAAGCAGTTCAGTGTTGAAGCTTCCTGAGACTTAGTTGTCCTTCTTAATGAGACCTGCCATTTCTTCTCAAGTTAAACGTTAAGACAAGGGAGGAGGGGGGAATCTCTAGAGGTGATAAACAAAGATTTCCACTGGGCATTGTTTTCCCTTAAGCTCCTGGACCCTGGGACATATCCTTTATATCTGGGTCAAATCCCATTACAGTAGTTTTCAAAGTGTGATGCCTGGACCAGTGACATCACCTGGGACCTTGTTAGAAGTGCAGGTTTTCAGGGCCCATCTCAGACCTACTGAATCAGAACCTCGGGGGCGGGGCCAGGCAATCTGTTTTTAATAAATTCTCCACCAGGGGATTCTGATACACATTGAAGTTTGAGATCCCCTGCTCTATTGTAAGCAGCCTGTTTCTGCCATAGAAGTTTCATGTGCCATTGGTGAAGTTTTTTCAGTCTTTAAATAAAGACTCCATTCTTTACAAACTTGAGTTTATTTCCCAAATCTGAATTAGTATGTGATCTACCCAAATTCTCCTAATATTTCTCTTCGTAGGGCTAGTGGGCCTGCCTGGCTTTATTCCTCAGTTTCCAGGCCAAGCCACATAAGACTCGCATTATGTGCCGTGTCCTTTTCCCCTGCCAGCCAGACTCTGAGCCAGGCTGGGGAGCAGGAACTATAAAATATTAAACAGAAGGCTGCATGTTGCAGTGCTATTTGTGGCCTATGGACTTGTAGATTGCAGTGGAGGAGCAGGCCTCTCCCTTTCAGTTCTGGTCTGGACTGGCTAGAAAATATAAAGATAGCGCTGAAACCCAAGGGTGGTAGAGGACTCTCCAGGCCTGATTTTAATAAAGAGCCTCTTTCGACCTGATACAGTAATGGCTCTTTGTGGAGCTCAAGGCAAAATGAACTGTGGATGTGCCACGTAGCGCCCTGCGTCTCAGGCAGCTGGGAGACACTGTGATGAGGGAGAGAGTAGAGGGAAGCCTAGTAGCTTCCAGCAGTAAGAAGTTAAAAAACGTTTTGATGTTCCCTTATATATACTTTGATGGGAGCCATACCATTTTAATGCAAATGAGGGGTTGTATATTGTTTTACTGTGTGTCCCTAACAATTGTGCTGTGTTCTCAGCCCATCCAGAGTAAATCAGGGTGAACTGGTCAAGTAATCCCTATTCTCTGAGGCAAAAAAATGACAGGGCATGATCCTTGTATGCATGTAGCAGAATCTAGAGAAGGTGAATCCTCCAGGTGCTCTGCTTTTCCCAGAAGCTTCCAGCAGCCTGTGGTGAAGTTCCTCTGTCAAGGGACATCAGGTACTGACAGCTAGTTCTCTTTCCTTCTGTCACAGGTGCTGCGACAAGAGACTTTGGACAAAAATTGACTTGAGTAGGTGTAAGGCTATTGTACCCCAGGCTCTCAGTGGCATCATCAAGAGGCAGCCAGTTAGCCTCGACCTCAGTTGGACCAACATCTCCAAAAAACAACTGACGTGGCTCGTCAATAGGCTGCCAGGTGAGCAGCCCTGCGCTGTCCTTCCAAGGGCAGGCAGGGAAAGCTGCGTTATTGGCAGTGCTTCTTAGAATTGCTTTAGGGCAATTTAGGGCAGCAGTCTGTGCCATTGTTGCCTTTCTGCTTAGCAAGAGACTTAGCCTGGGCCACCTTAACTGCCAGTCCCCATGGTGCCACTCTGGACTGGCAGGCCAATCACTGCAGTAGACAATGAAGAGAACGGGATCAGGTGCTGCTGCCAGCCCTGCAGGTCTGCTCAGCATAGCCACTGAAGAGGAAATTTGAGTAAGATGTTGCCTTGATCAGCCCCTTGTAAGGCCTTGTTCCCTTAAGCCTTTTGAGGTCCTGGATAAAGAGGAAGTCACTCACACTTACATGACTCTGGTAGGAACTGAGCAGTCCATTTTACCACCAGAGTTAGATGTAATTTAGGAAAGCATAGGAGTCTTTGAGCTGGATTACTAGAGTAAGATTAGGACATGGTCCCTCTCTCCATTAGACTGGGCATCTGTTTACCTTGGTCTGATCAGCTGGTAGTTGAGGCTTTGGATGGGCCGGTAGAGTGTATTATTGCGTGTCTGTTTCCTTCCATTGCAGGACTGAAAGACCTCCTCCTGGCAGGCTGCTCCTGGTCTGCAGTCTCTGCCCTCAGCACCTCCAGCTGCCCCCTTCTCAGGACCCTTGATCTTCGGTGGGCAGTAGGAATCAAGGACCCTCAAATTCGGGACTTGCTGACTCCACCGGCTGATAAACCAGGTATGCTCTGGGCCTGACTTTTCTGTGCTCCTCTTGGGGTAGCTTTGTCTTTCAGCTGAACTTCATTCCCAGAAGCTAAGGTTCTGATGCTGTTGAAGAATAGAAAAATGCAAATTGAAAACAGAATGATGGACTGCGTACAAGTACAGGTTACCTGCTTATAGATAACTACCAACAAAGAAAGGAGGAAGTCCATTTTGTGGGTTAGTGGGGCTTGGGGCTTAAAGAGTATAAGCCCGAGGAAGCTCAGGAAGCCTTCATGGTTGAGGTGGAACATTGAAAGCTGTTTCCATGATAGTCTAGAAAAGTGCGGGAGTGTGGGAAGGAGAGGAGCATTCCACACATACCCCTTTGCTGTGTAAGTGAGGCACAGTCCAGCAGCTGGGAAGAAAGAAAACGTGTCTGGTTTCCTAGAAACGGCCCCCACGCACTGCTCACTCCCTGAAGGGAAGCGTGTGGGCAGTTCTGCTTATTAACCCCTGCAGTGGGGCCTGGCCAGCAAGTAGCTGAAGCTGCCTGCAGCTTTGGAGCTGGACTAGAGTTGAGAATTTTTTTTTTTTTTTTTTTCTTGCGTTATGCGGGCCTCTCACTGTTGTGGCCTCTCCCATTTGTGGAGCACAGGCTCCGGACGCGCAGGCTCAGCGGCCACGGCTCACGGGCCCAGCCGCTCCGCCGCATGTGGGATCTTCCCGAAACGGGGCACGAACCCGCGTCTCCTGCATCGGCAGGCGGACTCTCAAGCACTGCGCCACCAGGGAAGCCCTAGAGTTGAGAATTTTGATCTAGGCCCTTCTCTTGCCTGTGCAGGTCAGGACAATCGCAGCAAGCTCCGGAACATGACTGACTTCCGGCTGGCGGGCCTTGACATCACAGATGCCACGCTTCGCCTCATCATTCGCCACATGCCCCTCCTGTCTCGACTCGACCTCAGTCACTGCAGCCATCTGACAGATCAGTCCTCCAATCTACTCACCGCTGTTGGGTCTTCCACTCGTTACTCCCTCACAGAGCTCAACATGGCAGGTATGGTGCTGTGATGTTTTGTGGCAAACTGCCCCCTGCCTCCCAGAAGCCCAGCCCTCCTTGGAGCTTGACCGGTAGAACAGAAAGAACATAGTCTGTTGACTAAATCGTGTTAATTTGTTTCCTGACATCTGGACATGGACATGGAACTCTGTCCCTTTTGTAACTGATGGGAACTAAGGCCTCGAGCAATTGTCAGGTGCCTAACAGCACGGCCACCACCCAGCTGCAGTTTGGTGAGCCTTGCAGTGCAGGGAGTGTGGTGGCAGGGGGCCTTCAGAGGCCGCCGTGCTGATGGCACTTCTGGTCTCTGAGCCAGGTAGTTATGGGAAAAAGGGGGCTTTTGTTTAGCATTTTGAGGGCAAGCTGGGAAATTGAGGCTCCTGTGGCTGTGTGTACATAGCATTGTCCTTGTGCTCACTTTCCCCACAGGTTGCAATAAATTGACAGACCAGACCCTGATCTACCTACGGCGCATTGCCAATGTCACCTTGATCGACCTTCGAGGATGCAAGCAGATCACCCGAAAAGCCTGCGAGCACTTCATCTCAGACTTGTCCATCAACAGTCTCTACTGCCTGTCTGACGAGAAGCTGATACAGAAGATCAGCTAAGACACACCCAGCCCAGACTGAACAGGAAACCGATCTTCCCCTGACTCCCCAGCCAGGAGAGCCTCTCTCCCCGACCCTGCACGGGCTCTGAGGCCAGCGTCACACTCCCTCTCTGCTCTCCTGTCCCTTGAGCCCTTCCCCTGCAGCCGGGGCAGAGAGGGTGGTGGACACCAGGCTTACCTGCCTGCTTCTCTCCCTCCTAAGGAGAAGGGGATAGCAAATTGATCTGAGGGGAAAGCACAGGCTGTGTGCTGTCACAGTGCCTGCTCGCTTGCTCACCCACTCGCTCACTCGCCTACCAGGAGGCTGGGCTCTCAGTTTGGGGTGTCTCTGTGCAACCGTCATCTGCACTGGGCCCTGGGGTCCTCCTCCCCATCCATGGTCCCCAGCAGTGCCTGGTTCTGAGCAAACTCCCAGGGAAGAAAGTGGCCCTGTCTCCGTGGCCAGGTTCTCCTTATGGTGTCCAGTGCGTGTCTCTCCTCCATCACACTCTCCCGGCTTATGCAGGAGGGGCCAGCAGCCCCAGGAATGC